AGTGTGTATGTACCACATTTCCTTTCTCTGATCCACTGGTGATGGGCACCCAGGCTGATTCCATGTCTTTACCATTGCGAGTAGTACTTCCGTGAACATACGAGTGCATGCGTGTTTTCGATGGAAGGGTTTTCCTTTGGGTAGATACTTAGGAGTGGGGTTGAAGCGTTGGGTGGTAATTCTCTTTTAAGTTCTTTCAGAAATGTCCACACTGCTCTCCAGGGTGTCTGAACTAGTTTGCAGTTCCCCCAACAGTGGACCTGCATTTCTTTGCTAGTCTGCTCCACCAGCCTCTGTTGTTGTGGACCATGTGTCATAATTGCCATTCTGACTAGTGCGACGTGGTATCGCAGTATGTTTTTGATGTGCGTTTCTCTGATGATCAGTGAGATTGAACATCTTTTCATTCTCATTGGTTACTGGTACACCTCCTTTTAAGTGTGTGTTCATGTCCCTTGTCCGTTTATAATTTGGGTTTTTTTTTTCTGATTTTATTTGTTGAAGGTCTTTACGATAAATCCTGGTTTTAGATGTTTTTCACATGCGTAGTTGTGGAATATTTTCCCTCATTCTATAGGCTGTGTGTTGACTCTGTTGGTTGTTTCTTGTTCTGTGCAGCAGCTTTTTTGTGTATTAGGTCCCATTTATCAGTAATTGCTTTTGGGGAGTTGACATTTAAATGCTTTGCCAAAGCCTCTGTTGAGAATGGTATTTGCTAGATTCTCACACAAGATTTTCTCATAGTTTCAGGGCTTGAATTTTTATGTATTTATCTATTTAGAGACTGAGTCTCGCTCTGTTGTACAGGCTGGAATGCAATGAAGACATCTCGGCTCACTGTACCCTCCACCTTCCGGGTTGAAGTGATTCTCCTGCCTCAGTCTCCCGAGTAGCTGGGAGTACAGGTATGTGCCACCATTTACGGCTAAGTTTTGTTTTTTTAGTGGAGACAGGGTTTCACCATGTCAGCCAGGATGGTCTCGAACTCTCTGACCTCTAGTCATCTGCCCACCTCGGCCTCCCAGAGTGCTTGGATTCCAGGCATGAGCCACCGCTCCCGGCCTGGGGTTTGGCATTTCAATCTTTGATTCATTTTGAGTTGCTTTCTGTACATGGTGAGACACAGGGGCCCAGTGTTATTTCTTCTGCATCTAGCTAGCCACTTATCCCAGCACCACTTACTGATAGGCAGTCCTTTCTCCATTGCTTTTTTTTGTTGTTTTTTTTCAATATCAGATGGTTTCAGGTGTGCAGGTTTATATCTGGGTCTTCTAATCTGTTCCACTGTTCTGTGGAACCGGGTCCCCAGTTTTTCAATGAAAATGGCAAGGCATTACATTGTCTATGGGTGTTTTCTTAGAGTGTTTGCTTTGTTTTACTGTGTTTTAAATACCTTTAGCAGCCTACTTGCATGGATTTGTTTTCTAAAATACGTGCTCACCGTATGTTTTCTTGTAGGGGTTTTCTTGTAGTGGTTTCAGAATTCAGTTTTAGGTCTTTAATGTATTTTGCATTGATTTTTGTTTTGCATGACATAAGGGTCCCATTTCAGTGTTTTGTATGTGAATATTCAGTTTGCTGAAAATCATCTACTGAACAGGCGGTCTTTTGCCCATTCTGCCTTTTTGGTGTTCTTTTGAAAAATGTGTTCACTATATGTACATTGGGGTTGAGTATTTGGTTTACCTATTCTGAGCACTTCCTTAGTTTATGCCAATAAAAGCTTGTTTGGATAATTATAAGTTTGTGTTTTTCATTCATTGTTTTAGCTGCTAAGTTTGTATTTTTTAACATAATTTCTACGTTTATTATAGACTAAAAGGTACAAAGGCAGATTAGTTGCTGCCTTTGGTATATTGCCTGATACTAAGACTTGGGGTCCCAGAGAGCTTATCACGCAGGGAGTGGTGGACCCACCAGGTAGGTCTATAGCCCATACTCCATCCCTTCTTCCTTTGTTGTCTTATAGTCAGCAGTGTCTGTTGTTTTCACTTTTATGGTAGGGTGTTTTCAATGTTAGCTCCACCTTAGAAGTGAGAACATGTAGCATTTGGTGTTCTGTTTTTTCCTTATTTCTCTTTAGATAATGGCCTCCAGCTCCTTTCATGTTGCTGCCAAGGACATGATTTGCGTCTTTTTTTTTTTAAAGCTGCTTAGTTTTTTGTGGTGTATATATGTACCCCATTTTCCTTTTCTGATCCACTGTTGATAGATACCTAGGTTGATTTCACGTGTTTGCCCTTGTAAAGAGTGCCGCCAAGACCGTTTGTGTGCATGTGTGTTTTGGACAGAATGATTTATTTTCCTTTGTGTATACCCCAGTGGTGGGCTTGCTGTGTCAGATGGTAGTTCTGGTTTAAGTTCTTTGAGCAATCTTTGAAGTGCTTTCTATGGTGTCTGAACTACTTTGCATTTTCACCAAAAGTGGACCAGTGTCCCCTTTCTCTGCTGCCTCGTTCTTGTCCTTTTTTTTCTTTTTTTTAACTGTGTAATTGCCATTCTGACCAGTGTGAGATGATAGCTCATTGTGCTTTTGATTTGTATTTCTCTGATAATTAGGTTTAGCATGTTTTCACATTCGTTGCTTGCTTTTACATTATCTTTTGAGAAGTGTGTGTTTATATCCGGTGCCTATTGATGAGTTATTTGGGGGGTTTTGCTAATTGATTTCTGTAAGGTCTTTCAGGTAGATTCTGGATATTAGGCCTTGGTCAGGTGCATAGTTTGGGAACATTTTCTCTCATCCTGTGTGTTGTCTGTCTACTCTGTTGGTAATTTCTTGTGTTGTGTGGTGGCTCTTTAGTGTATTAGATGTGGGAATTTCCTGGTCTCACATATACTTCAGCATTGTTTCTTTCTATGTGCTTAAAACCAATTTGCTCTATAGTAAAGGTTTACAACTAAAGAGTAGAGTGGGACATTTTGATCCATGCCTGTGTACCTTGTGTAATGATGAAAGCAAGGCATTGACTGTCTCTGTTACCTTGTGTAGTTGTTATTTGTTAGTTCTCTATGGTTGCAATATTCAGAATGCTGCTTTTCAGTCTTTTTTGGAAAATATGGTAGGATACTGTTAACTCTGGACACCTGCTGTGGAGTAAAATAGCTGAATTTATTCCTGTCATCTGAGAGTAACATTGTGTCCCTTTCCCAATCCCTGCCAGGACTTCCCAACCCACAGCGTCTCTTCACCACTGTGGAACTTTCTACTTCTAGGGGATAAAGTCGTTTAGAGAGGAAGTTGATCTCATTCTCACATGCATGAAATCATGCCGTGTTTGGCTTTCTCTGCCTGACTCATTTCGTTGAAGGTCATGTCCTCCAGAGTTCTGCACGTTGCTGCAGATGACATGGTTTCATGAATTTCTGTGGCCGAAGAGGATTCCATTGTGTACTGCAGTTTCTTTATCCCTTTATCTGTGCATGAACAGGTAGGTGAATTGAATACCTTCGCCATTGTGAATAGTGCTTCAGTTGCCATAGGAAGGCCGATATCTTCTCAACGTAACAGATTCTATGTGGTTTCTGTGTATCTCCAGTGGTGGGATTGCTAGGTGAACGGATAGTTATAAAATGTGTAAGACACCTTCAACTGTTTCGCTTCATGTGTATAGTAATGTACATTGCCACCGATAGTGTATAAAAGTGTCTTTTTCTGGTGTTCTGCATTGGCCACTGCCTGTGAACGTATGGGTTTTCTGTTGTTTTTGGTAAGTTTCGTTCTAATTAGAGTGAGACACATCTGAGCATGGTTCGTACTTAGACATTTGTGTGAGGATTAGTGAAGTTGAGCAGCTTCTCTTTGACCTGTCAGTGAATTTCGTGTTTTCTTTTCAGATGTGCCTGTTCAGGATCCTTGCCCAGTTTTAGCTTGGGTATTAGGTTTTGTTCATTTTCCCAGTTAGAGTAGTGTTAGTTTCTCATGCATGTTAGATAACAACCCCTTTCACAGGTAAGATTCTGCTGAACTTTCTCTCAATCTGTAGGATGATTTCTTTAATGGTTCATTGTTCCTCTTCCCCATGCGTACGCGCTGAAATGATGTATAGTCCCATGTGTTTGTATTCACGTTTGTTAGCAGTGATTTTAGTGTCCCATCCAAAAAGAACAAAAAATAAGAAAAAGTATTGCGAAATCAATTGCATGGTCTAAGGGTTTCTTGCCATAGATAATTTTTGCTTTTGTTTTCTTTCTTTTTTGCAAACTGCGTGTAGAGATACAAGTTTTGCTGAGATACAGACTCCCACTTTTCTTATAGGAGCTTTGCGGCTCCAGGATTGGGTTTAGGTGTTTATTTTGTGTTGATTTGGGGGTATTACATGGTTCAGACCCTGAAATGTTGACTTCTTTGGCTTGTTTTTTCTCTGATATAACACACTGGGCATTGTGTTCAAATTAAGTCGTGGGACATCCTTTTAGATTCTGGGTTCAAATGATTCTCTCCTTCCTTAATATTCACTTAGAGGAGAGGTGTCAGAAAGTCTGGGAAGATCCATAGTGGAAAAAGTTTATCTGTATTTCATGGAGACTGATGGCCAGCTCTCTTCTGCCCAGGACTTCTGGAGAAGGCCAGCCCTACCGATTGCTGAAATACCTCCCATCTCCAGCCCTTCAGTAAACATATAAGTCATTCATTAAATATTTAAACTTCAAGAAGATAGAGTATCCCAGTGAAACTCGAATTTAACTAGAATTTAAATTTGAGAGTTGCTGGTCAGTAGAACAAGTGTGGTAGATTGGGTAACATGCTCTGATTTTTAAGGGTTTTGCTTTGTTGTTTTTTTGTTTTGTTTTGTTTTCCTTAAACAGAGTTAACACTAATTAATTAGAACAAAGAAGGAAAATATTAAATGGTTGGCATGTGTAGCATAAATGCTGTTGCATGACTTGTTCAGCCGTAGCCTCAATTTGACATACTGGACTATGAATCCTGAAGACTGGTATACAGTTACTGCACCGCGGTTATTTTTCTCATTGCAACAACTATACAACATTTTGAATAGTGTTTTAAAATTTTATTTTAATGAAAGTTAAGAAAAAAACCCTTACTTATACACTAAAGAAACTAAACATAAAATGGTCTCCCGCCTGCCTGGCAATAGTCCCACGGCCTGATCCTGGCCAGCAGGAGCAGCTGGTGTTACGCGAAGAGCAGGGGCCAGATGCAGCTGAGCTGCCAGCCACCTAGATGTGGTTCCCTGGTGTCACGGTCTAGGTGAAGGATGGTGCAGAGCCAGTGTTCTGACCAGCATCCCGGTGGGGTCCCAGCCACTGGAAGATGTTACTGGCCTACTGTGATTTGGGCTCCAGCTGGCAGGACAGCTTGTACCTGCAGGACAGTGAGGCAGCTGTGAGGCCACCATGAGCCACACATCAGGTCCCCTCTCAGTGCCTGCCCAGCTGGAATCCTGGGTCCCCAGCGGTACCCATGCAACAGGGCTTGATGCTGGCCGTGGAGTCATGGCCATAGGCTCTCTGCAGCTTGCCACAGGGAGAGCCTCCTCTAGGCCAGGTGGGGTGGCTGACACCTGTAATGTCAGTACTTTGGGAGACTGAGGTGCATGGATTGCTTGAGGCCATGAGTTTGAGACCAGCCTGGACAACATCGTGAAACCCCATCTGTACCAGAACAACAACAGCAGAACAACAGGACATGGTGTCTGTACATGCTGTACCACGTCCTGGGACATGGTGTACCGCAGTAGTCCCAGCTGCTTGAGAGGCTGAGGAAGGGCTTGAGCCCAGAAGGCAGACGTTGCAGTGAGCAGAGTTGGTCACACTGCAGTGCAGCCTGGGTGACAGAGCCAGACCATGCTGGGAAAAAAAAAAAAATGGAGAGCCTTCCCCCACCCTCTGCCCGTCCGCTAGGCCCTCACCTCTCCTTGTCACTGAGCTGCTCCATTCTTGGGAAATAGGTGACAAATTTCTCAAGAGGCCGAAGCCTGTAATTCATGGCAGCCACTTGGAGCAGCTGCATTTCCTGCAGAACTCGGACCTCCTAGAGACAGAGGAGAGGTTGCTGACAGGGCCTGGGTGGAAGATACTGAGAGCACCTTTGGTAGGCAGGGAAAAGGGGCTGATCCCTCGGGCAGTTTTCTGAGGGGGCCCCATGCAGCCCCCAGCCTGTTCTCAGAGTTGAATGTAAAAAGCCCCTCCTGCAGGAACTGGTCTTTGATTCCATTCCATTTCCCGCTTTCTCCACTGGGCTAGGTCTCCTCCTCCTGTGTGTGTCAAACCCCCCAGTAAACCTAAGATGTAGAGGATGGAGCCAGGGATTGTCGTGTCCAGGGTGGACTATGACGTCCACATCCCCACCCTCATCCAACGTGAGTGCCCCAGCTGCTCACCTTCCTCCTCTTGTTGCTGTTGCCCTGGAAGGCAGACAGAGTCCATCAGAAAGGTCCCTGGCCCACAACAGCCCCAGTCCACCCCTTCCCATGCTACATTACTGCCAGGGCCACCAGAGTCAGGGGATGTGCACATGACAGTACTTGGATCTGCCCCAGGCTCCGGGCTCTAGAGCAGGGGCATAGGAGCTGAGGCTCAGGGACTTTCTGTCCCAACCCTCTGTGATAACAGACAGGGAAACTGAGATCTCTCATGGAAAGAAAGCGCTCAGTGACCCTGGAACTGCCTGCCCTTGGAGAGGCTCAATTTCACCGGCCTGTGACGAGACTACTCTAGGGAAAGGCTAAGTGCAGCTCAGCCCACACCTCAGCAGCTTTGCAGTCAGGCAGCTCTGCAGCTTCACCACTCAGGGATAGGGACTGGTGACTGCCATGGAGCCTCTGTCAGTCAGAGGTAATGAGATGGGCCTGACACCCCCACCCACAGGAGCAGCTGTGAGGCTCTCAGGAGAGGAGGTTTGGCAAGGGCTGAGATCTAAGGGCTCCGTCCAGGACCCTCTCCTCCCTCAGGATCCTGGTTCCCAACTCCTCAGGCTCACTCACATCCAGATCGTCTGGGATGGCCGTATCCAATCTGTGTAACTCAGTCAGAAAATCCCCCAGGAAGGGGACCACTCCCTGTGCCAAGGAATGGTGGGAGGGGGGCGTTGTAGTGATGATGAGTATTGGCCGTCAGGTACCTGCCCAGGGTCCTGCCTCATAAAGTCCCACCAGCCCCTGTCTCCCGGAACTCCCCTCTTCAGGTCTCCCTGTTGGAGCAGCCAAAGACCCTCCACTGCCTTTCCCAATTCTCTTACCTCCTCTATCCCACCTGACCCCCAAGTCTAGCAAGCACTCGTAGTTACCTCTATGGTGGGATTTTAACAATTCACAAGGGCATGTGGTCCCAGTCTTACCCTTCCCCACATCCACTCTGAGTCCAGCTTTCCCTGACCCTTGCTCTGGTCTCTCAAATGGAGGTTTTCCAGGCCCAATGTCCACAGGAGGACAGGACTGGAGAGTAAGTCCTTGCGGTCTTCACATGGAGGCCTCCAGCTGGCAGGGAAGGGAGCCCTGTCCTCTGATCCCCTGCGGCCTCTCCACGCCAAAGGCTCACTCACCTTATTCTGCCTCCGCAGCTTCATCTGGGCTCTCTGGGGGTTCCTCTCCTGGGTGGCCACCTTAAAGCTCCCCGCCTGCCAGGTGCCAGTGACGGAGACAGTGAGGCTCTCCTCTCTTCCCCCAGTTACACCCCAGCCACCCCACACTTGGATCTCTAGGAACTGGCATGAGTCACCTGGCACAGTGCTCATACCACTGGCCAGCTCCACACTCCCTGTGTGTGTCACCCACTCATGCAGCCGGGCCTCCCTGAGACTGTTTCCTCTTCTGTAAAGAGCAATGAAAACCACAGCTACCTCACAGGGCCTCCTGAGTACTGTTTCCTGTTGCCATGGTTCTCCCCCTCATCCCTCTGAGGAAGAACCAGGCATGAGCACCAGCAAATTATTTTCTTTTCTTGAACTTCATTTCCATCCTGTGAGGGCTGCACTACAGGCTTAGCATCCCTTCATTTTCCAGATGAGGAAACACAGACCCAGAGTGGACAGTGACTCCCCAGGGACCCGAAAGAGAAGGCGCCTCCTCCCCATCCTGGAAGCTCTGTCCCGCTGCCTTCTCCCAATATCCCAGCACCACTACCCATCAGGGTCATGTTGTCTGGAGTCTCTGAGTGTCTCGGTCTCCAGCCAGGCACAGTCGTGATGGGAAAGGGACAGGGTATTTTAGGAGACCTGGTTAAGTGGCATCTGCCTATCCGAGCCGCACTGGAGTCTGTGCCACACAAACAGGGTTTGAGCTATGCCAAAGGTTTTGCCTCGCCAACGATCCCCCAGGGGAGTTCCGTGCACAGAACTCTCTTCCTCCACTCAGGAAGTGGCCTCCTGCGGTGCCATTTCTGACTGACATGGCGGGGTTTTCCAGAATCCTGGGTGAGGTGTCAAGTTGTCTTCCCGTTTGCATGGAATATTCTGAGATCTGGTCAGGGAGGATCCCCTAGGAATGCTTGAATCCCTGAGATACTTGTCATGAGCATGTGTCACTGCTAACTGGTGAGAATCCTGTGACATGACCATTTTCGGGTGTCTGCAAAGGGCAGAGTGGGGAGTCCCAGGAAACACACATCTATCCCGAGTATGCCCATTGGTACCCAAAGCTGGGCGGTCCACTGGACTCCCTGGCACATGAGCTTCCTCTGTTGTTGTTCCCCCTCTCCGCTAGTGTGGGCAGAGGCCACTGCCTTTGGAGATGCGCTGCAGACAGAAGCAGCAGCAGAGGCCTGGCTTCCTGAGGAATTGCCGGCCAGTTTGAGGAAGAAAGAAAGTCCCACCTACCATGACCACCCCCCAGCCTGGAGGAAGCTCCATGCCAGCAGCACTGACAAGCGCGGGAACCAGAGCCCTGCTAATGCTGCAGCTCATCACCCCCGCTCCGCAGCCCAGCAGCCATTGCCACATCCCATTTCCAGGGCCTCCTGCCCCTGTGCCCCCACGTGCCTGTGGACCACACACCTCTCTTCCTATTGGCCCAAGGTAGGCGTGGAGGGAATTTTTCAAGTCCCCTTTTAGTAGATAAGTCAAAAGAAAATAACCACTCCACACCAGGTCCAATGCCCTTCCAAACTCAGTCTTTCCTCTGACCCTTAAACACTTCTGCATCTCCCAGACTCCAGTGTACCTTGATCAGCAGGTCCCTCTTCACTGCAGTGTCTTTTTTGCAGAGTTGTTTTAGATGTTTTGTGCTTTTGCTATGGGCAGAGGAAAGAAAGAAAAGGAAATTTGGGAATAAGCGGAGAGATTTGTGAGTTCCAATCCAATCCCTTTTGTTTGAAAACCCAGAGAATCCCAACTTCATGGGTGAGAGTTTCCAGTAGGGTCCTCTGATAACAAGGGCTCCAGAGGACCAGGGTGGGACCCGTCATGCTCCTTCCCCGGCCCATCTCCACTTCACATGAGCCCCTGCGTGTTCACAGTTAGCTTCCAGCTGGACACAGTTCCACTGCTGGGTACAAACACCTGAAAGCCTCCAGTTGGCTCCAGTCTGTTCCTGATGGTTAAAAATCCTTAGTCCTGAGTTGGAAATCCTTGCTTAGTAGTCCAAGGCAGCTTAGTGACCACACCCACCAGGCCATCCCTGCCTCCAGTGTCCCTGGTCTCCAAGAACCTTTCAGAGTGGTTGAGGGCACATGGGGAGACCTATGGGTCCCTAGGTCAACCCTGGTGCTCCCGTGGAGGGAACCCTCCTCACCTGGACACTGCTGCCCACGTCTTGTGTAGCCGATGTATTGGTTTCCTGCACAGAGCAGAGACGATGGCGTGCACCGAGGAGAAGTTGTTGAGGCTTAGGCACTCCTGGAGAGGGAAGAGTGAGCTGTGAGGTCCACAGTTGGAGCCCGGCCCACTTAAGCCATAGCCCGCTGTGCTGAGATCTCCCTTCCTGGACAAAGCAGAGGCCCAGGGAGCCTCAGGAGGGCACTACTGGGGCCGAGTGAATGTCACTCATCTAGGAGGATTTTAGTTCAACCCAAGGAAGATCCCAGGTCAGAAGTGAGCAGCCACCACTGGGACATGGAAGTTGAGGTCTGTGGCAAGAAGGGGCTAGGTGATGTCCAGGGCTGAAGCCAGACATACAGATGCCACTCCTGAAAGCCGATGGAGGAGAAGAGGCAGTTCCCCGTTTTTAAAGAGGAAATTCTCAGGCCCAACCATGGCTTACGCTGGCCACCTTGATCCAGTGCTCCACCACCCTGGCCCTGTCCTGGGCCCTCATGCCATGGTTCCCGAGGCAGGAGGTGGTGACGCAGTTGGTGAGCCTGTTGAAGTGTGCGATGGTCGCATGAACTGTGGGTGCCACGTGCTCATTCCCCTCCTTAGCTCGTTGACCCCAGATGGAGCCCAAGCATTCGTAGAGCTCCACCTTCTTGAACAGCTCCTTTGGGGGAGGAGGAGAGTGTCATGGACACAGCACACCCCAGCTCAGAGTCACCCACAGTCCCAGGCAGGGACTGAGCTCACAGTCATCCATGGTCTCTGACAGGAACCGATCTGGAGTTCAGAAAGCTTTAAAATGGGCTCCAGACAAGTGGGAGTCCCTGGGTTTGATTTTCTGCCCACTGAGGGCCCTGAGTGCATCATGGCCCAGAATCCAACAAGGGTGGGAAGAGAGAGTGACATTTTCTCCCAGGCCATCTGCATTCCAAGGAGTAGAAGGTGGCTCAGGCCTTCCCGTCCTGAGGCCTCGTCTTCCTCCCATCCCAGTCAGCCCTGTACTCCTTCTCTCCATACCGGTGCACTTTCCTTGTGGCAGCTGCAACTATGGACTCTGTTTGGGTGTCTCCCATAGAATCGAGTATGCATCAGGCACCTAATAAGCGCTGAGGGTAGTGAGGCTCCTGAGCAGCTGGGTGAGTGACCCATGGCCCTGCCTGCCCCTCAGTGAGCACCTGCCCTGTCCTGCTTTCTGTCCATCCCTTGTCATTCAGTCTGCACACTCTGTGGAGCTAGCACAGGCGACGTGCCATCTCTGCTGTCCATATGCAGTCAGGGAAGGCTTGTGCGTGAGGAAACTCATCCAGATCCCATGTTTGGTAAGAAGTGGGGATGACATTCGACCCAGGGCATTGGCCACTCCTCGGGTAGAGGCTGGTCTGAGACAGCTAGTGCCAGAGGCACAGCCTGCAAAGCCCAGCTGCTCACCGCATCCATGCGGGTCAGCTGCTCTGCCAGCAGCCTGGGAGGGAAGGTCGTGATGTCAGGCATCTCCTCAAGTTGGTTCTTCACAGTCGTGAAAGAGGGACTGGGGGACTCTGAGGCGGACTGTGGCTCCAGCAGTGTCGCTGGAGGGGACCCTTCCCCTGGTGCTGGTCCTGGTGCTGAATATAGATGTCCTGGTGCACCCAGGGCTGCACCTGACTCTGGCTCCAGAGCAGGCCCCAGGTCCACCAGCAGTGGTGGTGCTGGCTCCAGGGCCGGCATTGTTAATGCGTGTTGCCCAGGAGGTGGAGCAGGATCTGGAAAAGGAGAAAAGGTCATGACATGAGTCACTATTCGCTGGGCTTTCCAAGCACAAAAATGACCAGATGAAATGTAAGGGAATTGTAACCCCACAACACCACCCCTGGAAAGTCTTCCAGACTGCAAGCCACCTCACCATCTGGCTTGGCCTCGTTGGGCTCCGGAAGCACCAACTGGCCTAGGACAAGTTCCTGATGGTCCTCCACACCCAGTCCAGGCCAGGCGAAGTTCCTGAAGGCCAGCTTTATCCGGAAAGATGACCGTTGCGGGGGCTGATAGCAAACTGAAGTGTTTTCAAGGGGCCAGGTGAACAGAATGGAGGTGATGGTGCTGGTGATGGAGTAGACAGCTGAGTCAGAGGCCTGGCCTTCTCCCACACAACCCTCCACGGCACACTTGCATGGTTCTGGGTCCCTGGCATGTTGCTGCCTGTGTAGAGGACAGCCCCACCCTTCCCCAAGCCGTCAGTGCTGTCCTGGAAGGGGCAGACCTGGCCACGCAGCAGGGCTGTACAGACCCTTGTGCGCCCCAGTGTCCCACTGACATTCTCTTCCCAAAGGCCCTGGAGCACAGCCCTGTGCACCTGGACACTCAAGACTGCAGCTCCAGGCTGATTTGTGAGCAGGTTTCTCATCAAGCTCCAGCTCTGGGTCCCCTGGTCCTGGGGTTAGGAGTGTAGGGGCAGATGTTGGCTGGAGGAGGACAGGTAGAGTTGGGAAGCCACGGCACGGGGCATGGGTCTCCCAGTGGCCAGCTGAGACCCTAGCCTCCGCTCTCCTTTGCAGGGCACCTAAGTCTCCATATACAGAACTCACTATTTGCCTCTTGTGGGGGAAGTCTCCACATGTCAGCCTTCTCGTGGGAATTACAAGAAGTATGAGCCCCAGGACTCCTTTAGTGTCTCCTCAGGCAGAGGCCACATCTTTTACCCCATGTTTTCTGGATGAAAAGTCTCTTTAGAACCCTAAATCCACCCAGTTTATACTTGTTGCTGGACTCCATCATTCTAGTCAGAATCTGGGAGGATGCCACCATACGTAGAAGAGGCCATGAGGGTTTCACCTCTAACATTGTGTAGATAGGACCTGTTTATTCTGTCTCCTGTGAGCACCTGACTCAGTAAGTCGAGGCCCAGGGATTGTCTTCTGATTTATGAAATTATGCCAAGTCACAAGAAGAACGATGCACAAATAAGGTGTTTTGTGTGTATGTGTTGAATGAGTGAGCCCCAACCATTGGAGAACCCCAGTGAGCCTCTCCAGATATCTGAGTGGACCTGTGGTTCCTCTTTCAGCACCAAGGGACCCCTCTTCTGTCTGTGTCAAGGAGAAAGACCAGCCAGAAGGAATCTCAGACATGTTTTACCAATACCATCACGGACTTGCTTTCTATGTGCTTTTCCAAACAGCAAAGGATTTGGGCCATTGAGGCAGAATGCTGAGAGCTACTTCAGTGAGTGGGAAGAGAAAAGCAATAAACATGAATCACAGCACCCCCAGCAGATATCCAGAGTTTTAGACTCTAGGGACCCCTTTTTTTGCCGTGTCTTAGATCATTCAGTCCCTACAAGAACCCTGTGAGGTTCATCTTCTCACTGCTCCCTGTTCCAGAGGAGGCAACCGAGTCTCGGAGAGCTGCATCTTCAAGGCACAGCCAGTAGGGCACAGAGGCACTTCCGTGCCTTGGAGGGGATGGACACTCACTTCTAACGAGTAGTTCCAAAAGTGTGGCACGGTGATAAAGTCCCAGGAGGGGCCCAGGCAGGTGGCATAGGAGGAGATGGGTTAGTTAGCAGGCTGGAACCAGGGGTCCAACAGCTTCTCCTCTGTGCCGGGCTGGAAAGTTGACATCCTGCAGATCTCATTTTCATACTAGGGGGACAAGGAGGGACATGGGAGTCAGTGGTAACACCATGAGCCACCAGAGGATCGCGATCTGGAAGTCACACCAAGAAGCACCAACCCTTCAGGGACTTGTGCATGTGGTGCCCATGGTGAAAGGGTTCTAGGCTTTCAAAGTAATTGCATGTGAGGATGGAGAATTGATAAATGATTCACTCCTTCAAGGCATTGTCATGGTGTTTGTCATCTGTGGGGCAATGGCACTTGTGTATCAGCGCCTGCATGAGAGCAATCCCTGCAATCCTCACAAATCATCTCATGATAGAGAAGAGACATGGGCTTTTGGATGTCACATGGCTGCCTGAGCAGCACCTGGGTCAGAAGTGAGCACCTTCCACAGGGAGGACTGGATGAATTCCCTGTAGGCCACCTGAGGCTCATTCTGATATGGAGGGGAAGGGCCTGGGAGGTCTCGTCCCCTCCTCATTTTAGCAACAGCACACAGGACAAGATGCTCTAGAAACCCTTTGTCTTAAGGGATTTGATTGTTTTTGTTCTTTTAACATGAACATGTTGCCATCCCAGCCCTGGGCAAGGGGAAAATGCCAGAAGACTCCAGGGGAGGAAGCCATCCCAGGCCAGGTCTGCAGGCAACTCGGGAAGAGAAAACGCGGGCAGATATGGAACCCGTGAAAGGTTACGCAAGTGTACGTTTGAAAGTGGAAATGAAACGTGATTTTCTCTGCCACACAGACAGCAGATTGGCAAAAAAGTTAAAAGCATGTTAGTATTCAGGGGAGGCTGTGTTCAGAGAAGCAGCTACCTTCAGAGGCTGAGGCTGCTGGTGACCGTGTGAGCAGCTGGAGCCCTTTTGGAAAGTCAGCTGGCTAGAGCTGTTGAAACTTGCTATCTGCACATCCTTTCACCCAGATTTCCCTTTCCCGGGTGTCTGTCTTCCTCAGGGTATTTGTATATTTTATGGGTTGAATTGTGTCCCCTCCCCAAAATGTAACCGTTTCTATTCTCAACCCCAGAGACTCAGAATGTAACTGTGTCTGGACCCAGAGTTCTCCAAGAGGTAATTCAAGTGAAGTGAGTTCATTAGGGTGGCCCCTAAGTTAATATGCCTGGGGTTCTTACAAGAAGGTGGTGAGTGCACAGAGAAGTTGAAGAGAAGACCCTGTGCTGACCGAGATAGAAGTCAGCCATCTCCAAGGCAAGGAGAGAGGCCCAGAGAAACCACCCCAGGCTGACAGCTTGATGTTGGGCTTCCAGTCTCCAGAATTGTGAGGAACCAGATTTCTGGAGTTAAGCCCTTCAGTCAGCGTGCCATGTTATTGCAGCCCCGGGAAACTGCTCCAGCCTATTAGGACACACATAGGATTATGCTCCCTGTAGAAAAGTCTTTCTAAAATTCCCTAGAAAGGGAATTTTATCACTACAGGCTCCGCCGGCACTGAGAGGCTGACCCACTGTGGAGCATGGCCTCCCTTAAGCAATATTACAGTGAGATGCGAGGGTACAGCTCCTGCCTGATGGGGAGGCAAGGATGAGTTCTGTGAGATGACGCTTTAAAGCCAAATGCATAGAGTAGCTTCACCTTCTTTTGTTGTAATCAATGTCCACCCCCACCTTGTTTGTGTAAAAGTTTTGGATTTTAAGTCCTGGAGGAGGTCTGGCAGGGCAGTGGAGATACCTGTTGCCGGAGATACACTTACGGTGGGGAGTTAAAATGATAACTGTGTGAGTATGTTGCTATAATTTTACCATTATACTCAATTCTTGTGGCAACATGCTGAGATACTCCTGGCTTAGCGTAAAGTGAAAACAGATTTTCTCTGATCTTCCTCTGATAGATGAAAGGGATTTTGCCTATAACCCAGTTGTCACTGGGGACTAATGGCAGCCAGATTCCTTTGGAAGAGAACGCTGGGCCACTCAAGTGGGAAATCCCTAGGACAGAGCTTAGGGAGTCCCCATATTCATGTCTGAGTCCTGGGCCCACCCTGGTTTTCTGGAGTCCCTGTCTGTGGAGACCCTTCTGAACCCAATCTCACCCCAGACCAGCCCTGGCCGTGGTTGGTGGCGATGGGCCCCTGCCCTTCTTTGAAGAAGTTGGAGAAATGGAATCCATCCAACAGCTCCTGCTTGATCTGCTGTGTGGAGCTCTGCAAAGAGAGGGCCCGAGAGCCGGGCCAAGAGATGTCAGTGGCCTGCCTGGCTGACCCCACAGTGGCACACCCCCATTAGAACTCCTTCCTGGTGTCCCCATCCCCAACAGGATTTGGCACATAGGAGCATCTGCATAGACCTCCAGCCAGAGAAGGTTGAGGTCTCCGGCAGATGAATTGGGATTCACATCTGAGTGGCAAACTGTGTCCTCCACCCTGAACTTCCCATCCTGCCAGGCATGGTCTGGGCGGTGAACCTGACATACCTACCAGGCTCCAAACACCTGACAACCTACCTGCTCCTGTCCAGGGAGGGCCCGTCATCTCCTGTTTCCCCCAAACATATGGGGAGGGACTCGGTGCTGCCCTGATGGGCACAGCTGAGACCTGGCCTGGACGGGCCTGCCCTGGGCCCTGTGTTACCTGTGGGTGCCTTCTGGCAAAGGGCCAGAGGCGTCGAGGGTGAGGGTTGAACCAATGTCTATATTCTCGAGAAAGACTCTCATTTTGGCCTCTTCTACGACGAGGAGGTCGGCAGCACGTCGGGACATAGCAGGAGAACATGTTGTTCTCCGCAGTGTCGCCTACCAAATGAACTGGAAATGGGGCTGTGTGTATAATATGGGTGCCTAGTTACCAGAATTCTGTGTTCTACTGGGGGTCTGTTAGCAAGGAAGTGAGGTCACATCTTGTAAGTTCCATCCTGTAAGCGCCTTCTTTCCATAAGACCTACTCAAAGGCCCCTCTGGGCTTCTGGCCGCTCGCCCTCCCCTGTCAACTCCTTAACTGTTCACCATTATGCAAAAGTGTGCCCCTTCAGCACCTTGGGAAGACCTGGATGTAACCGGGGTCCCAGGTTTGAGGAGCCAGTGCTGGGTCAAACAGTCTTTATCTTAGCAGTTGTGAGACCCTAGAGAACTCCTTTGGTGTTTTGGGCTCTCCCTGCCTTGCACAATGGGAGTTATGCTAGCATCATAACCCTTCCTGGGGAACTCCTGAGGTGTGTTTGAGATAAATCTTAAAAAACTGATGGTGTGGTGGTCCCTGTAGATATTGCACATACTTCGAGATGGAAGAACTACAAGAAGGGGTGAGAGGTAGCATGGAATACAACTCCAGTGGGCCTGGAGTCTATAGTGTGATCTCAGGAAAAGGTACTTTTGCTCTGGGCCTCGTCTTTCATACTGCACTAGTAGAGGTTGAGATTAAATAAAATTCAGACATCCACCTGCTCTGACATTGCACCTTCCAGTGCCTTCCCATTTTATTTAGACCCAGACCCTATGCCTCATCTCAGCCTTGGGTGGGCAGCATCCACAAAGACAGCACTGAGGGGTTAGTGATTCCCTCCTGAATGATGGAATACGACACAGATGGTGGAATAGCACTTCTGGGTCAGTTCAGTGTATTAGAGCAAAGAGCCATAGCCTGGGGAGGTCATCAAAAACAGAATTGTATTTCTCCCAGTTCTGGAGGTTGGAATTGGAGATGAGGGTACCAGCTTGGTAGGGCCTTAGTGAGGACATTTCTGCCCCATTCACTGAGCTTTTACAGGTGCTGTCTTTTCCTTGGAGGATGGCTCAATGTTAGGAGCATGGGTGGACCTCCCTTCAAGGCCCCGCTCCCACTTGTTGCTTGGTGGTCGTGAGGAAGTCGTAGAACATCCCTGTTCCCGTTTTCTCCTCTGAGAAATGGCATTAGTGAGAATTGCTTCCATCTTAAACAGAGAATAAAGAATGGAAAGAAGTTAACTTAGTGCCATTGGGCAGAGAGTGAGAGCCCAGCAAACCAGAGAGATCAGCTTGCCCACATCAGTGGTGAGGAGTGCGGAGAGTGGGTGAGGCTGGGGCAGGAAGCAGGCCAGCCTGCCAGAGCCCAGGAACAGGTGAAGGGCAAGAGTGAGCTCCTCACCCTGAATTCTCAGGGGACACAGGCATGCAGGGGCTGTGGGGAGCACAATCATCAGGGCTGCTCTCATTCCCCTGGTTCCCTCCATATCCGACGTGGTCCCAGGTCCCCTTCTCCCTGTATTTCCTCTCTGCCCTGCTTTCCTCCTGGCTGCCCTCCTAGGACTCATTTTTGGCCCTGGTC